AAAGGAGTTACTAGTAATTTTTGGGAGCCCAACTTGAAACACTTTCATGAGGTCTGATGTTCAGAACATGCTCCGCTTCTGGCACTCCTTGAAGGTGTCTCATGATGGGCACCCATGTAGGCTAGGGAACCAGGGATGGGATACCTGCATGTGCTTCTGAGCTGTTCCCGCCTTTGCACCTAATTGCTAACAAATCCTTACTTAGAACTCAACAGGTCTTGCCTCGTTCATTCTCTCTAAGGCCATATATATTCTATATGCCCTAAAATGTCATCTTTGGACACGTGTTCATTGATACATTATACCCAACCTGCTTTGTGCCATCTCCCGAGGGCAAGTTTATAGAATAAAAGAAAAAATATACCACCACATACTATCTGCAGGAATCCTGTTACAATGAGTGCTGAAAAAATGTCCTAAGAAATGTTAACTAAAGGGAATGTTAGGTAAGCCAGCCTCCCATACAACCAAATACTGTAAATGTCAGTAACTAGATATCCTGAGTAAATACACAACAGTCACAACCACCCTGCACTCAGGCATATTGCTATAATCATTGAAAGTGTTAGAAATCAATCCAGTAACTTCCTTTTAATCATGCACAATGTGTCTTAGCTCCAGTGATGTACATGGAACGTTGGTGGGCCTGGGGGCAATGTAGGACGTTCTGGGAATATTATAATGAGCTGTCTGACATGGGCTGGTCCAATGGATCAGCTGATTATGGAGCCTAGAAGCAGCTTTGAAACTTGCATCCTACGGGCTGACTGGTGGGATAATAGAGTGCACTGTAAAAGTACCTGCATGGAATTTCTAGGTTGAATGTGCAATTTGTGCTATTTTTTCACCTCTTTCTTCTCCTAGGAGGAGGGGCAGCATTCCTCTTCAGGGGAGCATCCTTCCTCTCCCAGCCACAGGAGTCAGGTTCTTCATGGAGCAGAGGAAGAAGTAACCCCACTAACACTAGCCCAAACTCTCTGCATCATTGTACTTTAATAGTTAAAGCCCCATTGTCCTTTCATTGTCATTCAGCTGGGGGTAAAGAGAGCCAACTCCCCAAGAGAAAGAGGGCGATTTAATAGACAGGTGACCTCAAATTGAGCCTTGGTAGGAAAATGCTTTAAAGGCACAAGGGCAATATTTTTGTTTAAGTGTATATGGAACAAAAAAAACCCAACTGAAGTATTCTAAGGCACATGGATCAGTCACAGCACTTAAGAGCAACATTAGCAGCTATGCTTCATTATTTTAATGCACACGACAATCAGAGATTAGAGCTCCGAGTAAATCACACTCTAGACAGCCACTTATCCTCTCTCAATTTTCAAGCCAGGATTACCAGCCACAAATAAAAGACCTTGCAGAATGTGACTAAGCAAGTCACATCTTTGTGCGCTTTTAAAAATGAAATGAATGAATTAAAGAGCTGTGGAATACTCCAAACAAGTGTATTATTTTCGCTGGTAGTGGAGCTGGTTGCCCAGAGCTCTTACATCCTAAAGAGCAAAACAAAAAACAGAAGTGAAAGAGTCAGGGCGTAAACAGACTAGGGGAAGAGAGAGCACTCAGAACATATAACATTTCAATAGACACGGAGTAGAGTGTGCTTGTGAAAACGGGACTCTTGGTTCTCGGAAATGAACGTTCCGCCAGCGGAGGTTAGGGACATCTGAAAGATGACAAGCTCAGGGCCAGGTGCCTGCAGCGGGTAAAGATCATGCTGAGTCTGAGTCAAACTAGGCAGGGAGGAGGGAGTGCACCTAGGGACACCCAGTATTAGCTAGCTAGAGGTCATTACTTTACGATGGCAGGAAGCTCCTTACATCATCATTGTCACTATCCAGACTGCCCTTCTTCTTTTTCTTCTTCTTCTCATCCTCTTTCTTCTTCTTGTCCTTTTCTGGAATGACGTCGTCAAGGAAACTGAGGTCATGCTGGGAGAAGAGGTAGTCCATGGCTTTTCTGACTGCCACAAGTGCCAGGATCTGGTGGGACAGAAATTCAGCATTCCCTTATTTAAATGTTAGCATTCCCCTAACTCACTGAGGACATTACCTTTAGTCAGGGATTCTGGCTTTACCCTGTGTATTCAATCCGACACTGTTCTTCACAAATGCCTCAGTCCTGTCTGCAAATTAACACGTCTGAAATCTGATAGGCTACTGCAATAGCTCACGTCAGGTTGGACATCTAAACCCTGGAGCTGATTTGGACTCCAGGTTTCAATGTCTTAGGTGACCACAAGTCAGAGTAAACAGGAATAATATACGGGGTTACACTATAACCTGTCACAGGTAGGTTACAATTCTACCCTGAAAAATGACTTTGGAAAACATGGCATTGAGTGGTTCCATGGTTACTGTGTCCCAGTTATTTCTGTATTAAAAGGTGCTTGGGTTACAAGTAAACAGGATTGATTTCTCTAACTGCCAGTTCTTCAAACTTAACTTGGGAACTAAAAGTCTAGCTGGGTTCTTGCCTTCTTGTGAACCATCACCAGCAGCTGAAGCTCTGCAGGCCAAGCCAGGCTCTCAGTTACCCCTGTGCAGCCCCACCGCATTTCGGGGGTTTGCACAGGTGTAACAAACTGGGGATGTGTAACTGGAGTCCATTCAGATCTCTGCTTATTGTGCACATGAGGAAGAGAATCCAGCTCAGTGTCTCTCAGATGCCTTTGCTAAATGTTTTTACTCCTGTTTTGTAAAGATATGGCTCTTAATATGCCAGCAGACCAGATATATTGATTTTAAAGGTATCTTTCTACATAGGAATGTTTCCACAGTGGAACCACAGTGAATTTTCTTAACTGCATCAGCTTTGTTCCTTCTAACAGCATCAACACAAGAGTAAATGCGTCCCATTATTTTTTTTTCTCTGTTTCTCTCTCTCTCCCTTTTTTAGACAAACCATACATTGTACAACTACAGTTGGCTTTGACTCACCTATTAACTAAGCCTGAAATAAAGTAAGGTTAGCCCCGGTTTCATGATGAGCCATCTGGCATGAGCCTAGCTGAAATCTGAATGCTAGACTCTATGGAGTATACATTAATGGAGGTATTGTTTCGGTCACAGTAGGTTTGGAATGAAACCCTCACTTCCAAGCGTTCTAGTTATACCAAAGATAAAACACATAATAGAGAAGGGCCTGAGCTGTGCTGTTTGGTTTTGCAGCTAAGCTCTTCCAAGGATCATGTGTTTGTGTAGGTGTCTCTTCAGGTTTGGGGATTTGCTCTGACCCATTATAAAAGAGAACCTGCTGCAAAGTGTGCATTTGAATTCCCCCGAAGTGTGGGAGTGTTGGGGTTTCTGGTCTTGGTGCTCTGGTTGGTAGCACCAAGACCAGAATCCCCAACACTCCCATACATACTTATATGGTATGAGTAAATACCATATAAGAACCTTATACATTTACACAATGATATATTGGGTGAATAATTTGTCCTTCAACATTTACTCAACATTTTAGAGTGAATCTGATGTAATATTGAAAAATAAAAAACACTTCCCCAAAGCTGGAATGAGTAAATGAACCACTGTTAATTTTTTATGACAAACAGTTCCAAGAAAAGCCGACTTCTCATTCCTGACTTAGTCAATTAACTTTCTCAATTTCCCCACCCTGAGTTACAGCAGCACACAAGCAAAGGACACTGAGGACAGCTCTGCCCTCAAATTCCTTCGCTTTTGTCAGTTTGTGTTATTCAGAAGCAGGGAAGAAGACTTCTATGCAGTATTTAATGTGAACTATCAAGGGAAAACAATGCACTTCTTATATGTTGACATAGCTCAGAGGGAGGGTGTGGGAAATCTGACTGTGGCAGCAAAAATGGGTCAAAATTAATTGTGGTTTCCTGGAGAAAAAAAATTCACTTTATGGACCCATTTTCCCCAAAAGGATTTGCGAAAAAGCAGCCACGAACACGAAGATTAGAGGGCGTGGAGAGCATCCGCTTGTAATCTTGTATCAGTGTGATGGATGGACTGACAAAAGTTCTTTGCTAGGGGTCTACCAGCTTAGCGCTGTAATGTGTTTTGTGGGGTGCTTTAAGTAAAGGGAGCCTGAAACGAAGTAGAAACTGGACACACCACCTACCATGACTGGGAAGATTATAGCAGCCACAGTTGACTTGAGGATCCAGAGGAGGGCCAGACACACCACCTGCAAGAACGTGAACAGGTGGACCCGGCGCAGCGGGACGTGACGCAGATAAATGAAGTCAGGCTGATGTTTCAGAGGCATCAGAAGCAGCTTCAGACGATCCATGAACTGAGCGGGAGAGGGAAGAAAGAAAAAATTAAATGATACAATAGAGTAGCTGATACACAAAAAGGAGTGAAAGCATTGTTGACCCTTAATTTGGGAACTAATGGTGACCTGCTCTTCCTGCAAAAACAACACCCACCCACACACCCTTGCCCCCCGTGGCTGAGTTCTTTCCCTCTTAAGTAACCTTTATTTTCTGCACAATAGGCAACATTTTAAAACCTGGGTGCCTAAAGTTAGGCTCTTCAATCCATATTTAGGCAGCTAAATAGAAGTTACTTGATTTTCAAAGGTGCTAAAAACCGGTAGCTCCCATGGATTTCACTGGGATTTGTGGTTGCCCAACACTTCTCAAAGTCAAGCCAGTTCCATTAAGGTGCCCAAATATGGATTTAGGTGCCTAACATTAGGCATCCGGGTTTGGAAATGTTGGACAGTGTGTAAAATGCGAGCCTAGGGGCCAGATTCTTAGCTGGTGCAAAGGGTATAGTTCTGTAGGAGTGGCATTGATTGCCAGCAGCGGAGGACCAGCAGCCTGAGGAGCTGGTAAGAGGGGAAGTGCCTCTCGCCCTACTGGAAGAGACGGGTTGAAGCGAGTCCCCAGCCAGGATTTCCTGTCACTCAGAAGTTGTCCTTGGACAGCTGAAAAACAAACATTCTGTAGCACAAGGGCCACCTGGGCCAGAGCACTGAGAAATTCTGCTTGGAAGAACCAGGGGTAGTGAATATTACAATCGACTGCTTGTCCCTTGCCAGAGCACTGGCCTGATGCCTGCTTCTGGCTGATTCTGAAACCAGATTAATCTCAATCTAGGGGGTGAAAGGGCCATTTTTAAAAGGACTAAGTAAATTCTGAATGCATCCACAGAACATGTAGTCTTTTCCCATTAAAACTCTGCTAAGTGGAGAAGAAGTTTGCAATTAGCAGGTGATAGAAAGTAACAAAACCACTTCCAGCTTCCTAATGCCAATTAAAGCGGCTGCCCTGGCAGAAAGGCTCCCTTATGTAACATTTCCTCAGTGACAAAGAAAAGGGGCTCGACTTTGCTCAGTTATTCCCACCAGTTCATGCTGGAGAATAATACCACCTCAATAAATCCTGTTAATGCAAAGCAGAAGGCCCAGTTACAGGCCCGAGCCATCTAAGAAGCAGGACTATGGCAAGTGAACACGCACTGTTCTCAGCATTTTTGTCAGGAAGGGGCCAGAGAGATGGTTTTAAATCACCCTCTGAGAACACACTTAAAAGGTTACGATTGCTTCTTGTGGCAGTGACGCTGCTCAGAAGACCGGAACTTGGTGCTCTCCTGTGGAAAGGCTGCTTTTATTTGGTATCATCTACAAGACAATATTTGTGTGATAATATTTGTGAAGCCTTGGTAAGAGCCTTTGGAATGAAAATGAGGTGGAGGAGGGAAAGGGCAAGTAGTTAAAACAAGAGCAATGGTTAATGATTACCATCCTCTTGACAAGGTCCTTTAAAGAATCTACCCTTAAATATCAGAGTGGCTTTGGTTGCTATGGGAACTTACCTGCACTCCATTAAGGGAAGCAACACCCATGTATAGGAACACTCCATAGAGCACAGGCATCGGTATAAACTAGGGGAAGGAAAAGAACAGTGGAAAAACTACAGTGAATAACCTCAAACAATCATCTAGTTGGTGCACAGAGAGTAACATAATTCATATCCTGTGCTAACCCTGAATTTCGTACACACGAGTAATGCCAAGTCATAGAAATTAGCAAGTTTTATATAGTATTTTAGTGAATGGGAGAGCACTTGTGTTGAAAATAAATAGCTAAAGGGCAGATGTAGTTACATTGGGAGACAACAGGGCTCATACAACACAAAAATCTGCCCAACAGAGAAGGGAAGTGAAGCCAGCCCAACCAGGAGGCAGAGTCAGGGAGTGGGAAAACGTTCCAATAAGGTTAAAAGTTTTTTAAAAGTTGTAAAACGAGCCTGTGTCCCTTCACTTGTGGGTTTGAATAAAACTGGATGCAGAAATGCTGCCTCCCAAAAGGAAAGAGACTATATTCCCATCATATTGCCAGCCTCTGGAAAGACTAGAAATCTGCAAAGAAAGGTTGTTCTCATAAGAGTTCCAACCCAGAGATTAGATAATGATGTGAACCAAACCTCTTACTCTTTGTCCAATCCTTGACCCGCGTTAATTCATAACTAGTCACGGGCTAACAACTGAGAGTCATCATCTCACTTGCCAAACCTGCCTTCCAAACACCACCACCACTTTGCACTCACATAAGTGGCAAGCCCAGCCCACCCTACACAACAGGCCCCTTTGCAGTAGAATGGGTAATGTTTAGGCTGGATGCTGGGGAACCAGACAGGGATTGGGTCCACCCTCTGCATCGCACATAGCCTTGCTCCATGTGTGCTCCCTGCATGGCTTAGAGGGGTCAATGCTAGAGGAGGGCTATCCCACTCCCTTCAATATAGGCTATTTCAACCCACCATGCATCTGCCAAGTACCCAGCCCAGCTGCTTGGTCGGGATCTACCTTTAATCGAAAGGTCTCAAAGTGCTTTATAAATATTCATTGATTAGTACAAACCCAATACCCTTCCGAGGCAGGTGATAGATACATAGGGATCACTTCACCCCCCATTGAACGCAATCCCCCTAGCATGGAATGGAAGCGGTTTCAAAGCACTGAACCACATTGTGGAACAGATGGCAGCACATGGAAATTAATTTTTTTTTTAAATCTGGCACTCCAACTGCAGACAAAAGCCTTTATCAGCAGCAAAATAACGATGCAGCTTGCCAAAAATGAAAGAGTCCCTCAGCTGAGCAGCAAAGTTATTTGTAATAAACATGACATGTGGTTAATCAAAATATCAGACGATGGTCCAAATACAAGATTTGCTTAAAATCCTTAATATAATTTCTTTGACACCAAGCAAAAGAGCAGTTCCTGCATCAGTCACCCTGCGGTGAGAAAAGCAGTTAATGTAATGACTCGCAACCACCACTGCAGGGCAGGCATTGCACATTCAATGCCGCTCTGAACTAAGTACATTCCAGTTTTCTTTTGAGTGACACATTTCTTTAACATCTTCGATGCACAACTTTTAAAGCAGGACAATAGAACGTTTTATTGTATTCCCACCACATTATTATTAACCCTTTCCTAGGTTATAAACACAGTGGCACACAAGTACCTCCTTAGGCCTTGATCCTGCAAACACTTATGCACACACTTAACTTTAAAAATAGAAGTAGTTGTGCTGACGTCAATGGGACTAAAGTTAAGCATGTGCCTAAAAAGAACAGGAGTACTTGTGGCACCTTAGAGACTAACAAATTTATTTGAGCATAAGCTTTCGTGGGCTACAGCCCACTTCTTCGAAAGCTTATGCTCAAATAAATGTTAGTCTCTAAGGTGCCACAAGTACTCCTGTTCTTTTTGCGGATACAGACTAACACGGCTGCTACTCTGAAGCCTGTCATGTGCCTAAAGTTAAGCATGGGTAAGTTTGTGCAGGATCAAGGCCTTAATGAGGACGTGCTGCCCATTTCTCAACTCTGCCTCATTTCCCCACCAGCTTCTGCAAGTCTCTCTGCTGTACATTAATCCTTTGTTGTGGCTTTGTTTGCAGCACTTGCTTCACTGAATGTGATTCATTTATATTCATTATTAAAAGCTAAATGAGTTTCCTGCAGCCTGCTTGCCGCAACCTTCTGACAGCATGCTGTAGGAAAGGAAAAAAATGGATCACTTTGTGTTGTTTGCATTACTGTGGTGTCTGAGGGATAAGACGAGACAATGTCTCCTAAAGCAAGATGGGTCGAAAGTTTGTGGAGATCTTAGTTCAGCTCTTAAGCTTTTCTGTGCTGTTTCTCTCTCTCTCTCTCTCTTTTTTAAAATAAAAAGTACTTGAGTATCATCGCACTGTTTCAGGATAAACAAACACGTAACTCACTCCTCGGTGAAGTCTAGGTAGAGTATCATGCTTAAGCTAATCCAGTTGTGTAGGAAAAGTGCAGTGCTTTAGTTCTGGAAGATTTCATTCCGGCAATGTATTCTCTGGTAAGGGAAGGGAGTGCTAGCTGACAGACTCAAAGCAAACCTGTTGCTGGCCAACTAAAGAAAAAAATGTATTTATAGGAAACTGCTTATCATTCTCTTAGCAGGAACTAAGATCTGCCATGACTGAGTGGAAGAATCAGGGACATTAAAAAACACCCAAAACCGCAGTAATGCAGTTATTCATTTCACGGACTGTTTTATTGAATTTGGGCTTGTTAGTATTCAATTTACTGTTGGCATCATAAGGTGTGTAGGTTTGACAAGGCATTCCACGAAGCAGTTCTTACAAGAGCAGAATCCACTGCTGAGTTTTGTTAAAGGTTCTGGAATTTTGCCAAGTAACTCCTAGTGACCTTAATGGGAATCATACAGATCTATCCCACAAATCCCATACACGTCCTTCAGCCAAGTGTGTAAAATGATCAGTGAACAGAGCAATCCTTGCTTAGAAATATAAAAGTTCATCGGGGACGGCCACAAAGTAACAACCAAATACATCAAACTAAGCATGAAATTAAAGACGGGGGGATTGGGGGGGGAGGAGGAGAAGAGTTAAGAAGAACCATGATGAGGAATTTACTATTTGTAAAACCAGCCACTGAAATCTAGAATAGGAAAGGTTTGATTTTTTTTTTTTTTAAAAGCTTCTTCTCTTCCCCTTCAAGGTACTTGGTACCACCGGCCCCTCCCCATATTTGGTCCTGCTGCCTCCTCTCCACCCCAGGGTCACATCTTCCCCTTTGCTCACTCATGCCTTTCCACGACACTGCTCTCTGATTAATACACATAAAGTTCTCATTTGCCTTCTCCCTTACAATACCTACCTGTTACATAATTCAATTACTATGGCCCTGCCGCTGTTTCTATATCGTAACGTATGCTACTGTTCTGCACTGCTCCCGACCGATTGTGCCTTTAAACTCTAAATCCGCAGGGCACAACTCTCCTGTTCCCCATTACTGTCTATATCTTGGATGCTATAAATAAATAATCATCATCACAAAAGTCTAATACACGAATAGAAGAGTTCCTGCACCGGAGATGTGTAACTAGCTTCCCTAGTGTTGTTCTATGATCTAATGATGTATTAACGGTAACCTATATGTATGTAGCTGTAGGCAAATAAATCCCAGATCTCAAAAAATAGGCAAACATCTATGTTGTAGCAAACAGACAAAAACCCAAGGGGAATGAATTTTAAAAAAAGAAATCAGAGGCAGAGCTGATCAGTGCCTGGGCAGAACTCTACTAGTTGGCCATCAAGAAAAACGGGGAAATTAAGAAATTGTATTTCTAGGATATCATCCTCCTCATATGCATACACTTTGCATACTGCTCAGGTGGGCAGTATTTCTGAGGGATGGAAATATTGCTGATTTAAGAGGAGAAAGCCTAGAAGTTCAGTTCTCTTGGTTGTTCTGTTCAAAGGCAAAGCAGGTTTTATGAACCTAGCACTGCTCAGATGCACGCTCTGACAGCTGGACCTAAACGGCTTAAATCCAGGCCCACTGGAGTCAGTGAGAAAACTCCCATTGACTTTAGTGGGGTCAGAATTTTACCCATGGAGTAGCTCTGTTAGTTCAGACCAGCTGAACTTTATGGATTGCCAATAATTCTTTATACTCTTCATCATCTAAAGTCATGTCTACACTCTGAGTTGTAACACCATGAGCTGGGTGCCAAATGCAAAATTTTCTACACTCATATGTGAGATCACTAAAAAGTTATTCATGGCAATTAATGTACTACAGGAATTGGATTCCACAGTACTAACAGGATGAGCTAAAGGATTTGTCTTATTTCAGATATGCTCAATGATTTTCTGGTACATACAATATGTGGATGCCCTGGATGCATGCATAAAGCACATCTCACATCATATCCATCCCTCTGATGCATGCTGAAGAAACAATCCTAATTCTTCACCTGGCAGCCTCCTCCAAGACTATAAAGTGAAGTCACTCTGGCTTCTAGGGGAGTTTGGAAAGGGAATCAGTCTGAAACTTTCTCTGTCACCCCCAGGCTAAGATAATCAATACCACAGTACTGCCGTTCCTTCACCTCCCATTGACTCAAAGTGCAAGGACCAGATTCAGTGGTATACCTGACTTCTTTGTGCCACGCCACTGATGCAAAGCAGTATGTAAATAGCTGTACACATACACTTATATAATTTCACATTTCTTTTTCTTGACTATACATTCATTGTAAACCGGTGTCTTCCATGGAGCAAATACATTGTGCTATCAACCATGCTTCCAGCATGGCTCCAAGAAGCTCTCTAAATTTGTCTGCAGTATATTTTGCATGAGCACATGCATGTGGCAGATGCATGAAACATATGAAGTACAATATAACAGTGCTGCACGCAAACATTTAAAGCAACTCTTGTATTAAAAGAATACCAAAAAACCCAATCTTAAAATTTCTTGGCAACACTGTATCAACCTACAGATAAACTTTTTAGGAGGAAAAATCATGTATTTTAAGCTCTCAATAAATTATAAAACTACATCAATAATTCTCCCTAATCTCCTTTTCCATACTGCTATGATGACAGTCTTATCATAAAACAGTCTGTTATTGCAGTGTGGGCAGCTTCCTGATCTTTCAGTGTCCCAAGAAGGAGGAAAAGGGGAAAATTTAACATAGTTACCTTCAAGATGGGAGCCATAAAGACTGACACACCAGTGAGAATGAATACAATGATTCCAGTGACTCTCTGCTCCCTGAAACCAAATCAGACAGTTACTGGTCTAGCTCCTGCTTTAACCTAGGTTTCATTCTCTGTTCAACTCTCCAAAAAAACAAAACAAAACAAAAACAAAACACCAGACTCTAACGATTAGTTTTTGAGGCCAGATTTTCAAAGTTGGGTGGCAATGGTACGGCCAGAAACATCATGCACACACGTTGAACATGCACACTGTTTGCTAATGCAAAAAACATGTATTTGCACGTCTGTCCAATTGCCTGATTTGTGGGTGCAGCAGTTTGCACCCATCTTTGAAAACCTGGCTCCTTTGAAAATGGAGACAATTCCCAGTGTCATTTTTACTCAGATAGCTAAATAACAAACAAATTACTGGCAAATCAGTAGGATGTTACAAATCAATTTTGGGGGAACATGTTTGAAAGCGTAATGTCACAAGCCATCAACGGGCAGGCTAAATTCTTTGTACGTGATTGGCAGCGGCGGCTCCAGGCACCAGCACTCCAAGCGCGTGCCTGGGGCGGCAAGCCACAGGGGGCGCCCTGCCTGTCCCTGCGAGGGCAGCAGTGAGGCAGCCTTCGGCGGCTTGCCTGCGGAAGGTCCCCCGGTCCCGCGGATTCAGCGGCAATTTGGCGGCAGGTACGCCGAAGCTGCGCAACCGGTGGACCTCCTGCAGGCATGCCGCCGAAGGCAATCTGCCTGCTGTGCTTGGGGCGGCAAAAAAGCTAGAGCCGCCCCTGGTGATTGGCAATGTGTGTTATACGCGTATCAATGATAAATCATTGGCTACTGATTCATGAGTTGGTGGCATATTTTGAATCCTCGTCTAAGAAGGAAACCACAATTTTGTATGCTGGTCAGCACACTTACAGAAGAAAGTCATGCACTATTGGTCTGACTTTCTATGGAAGTGCTGAGTGTCTGCACTTCTCATTGCCCTCAGGGGGGCCAGGGTTGCTCAGTGAGTCTGAAAATACACTGGCCAACATTTTCGAGTATGTAAAGTTAGGTACCTAAATTCACATTTAAGCACCTAGGTAAGTGGCCTGAATTTCAGATGCACAGCTGCTCCGGCTAAAGTCACTTAAGGCCACTCAGTCTGGGTACCTACATATTGCATTAAATTGCCAGATTAGGTAGAGCTGGTTGCTTTAGGCGCCACAAGTTTGATTTTTTTTGGCCATTGAATTTGTTCATGTACATCTGACTAATTTCCAATTACAAAATTATCTGTAATGACATTGTCCACTTTCCCATCCTCAGAAAGCCTGCTCTTATCATTACAGATCAGCTTTTCAAAGCCACCCAGGGAAATTTGGCCACAAAACTCCCAGAGGAGTGTGGCTAGTCTCCTAGTCAGTTTTGAAAAATCTCAGCCTACATATTTCACTCTCAAAGCAGTGAAAAACAATATACAACTTTTATTAAAACTTTCAGTCTCTCTCTCTCTCACACACACACACACACACACACACACACACACACACACACACACACACACACACACACACACACACACACACACACACA